ATTTTCCTTCTATGCGATTGCAAAGATTTGTCCACGATAGCATATCACAAATTTGGACAATAACATTTTCCTTCTATGCGATTGCATTGATTTGTCCGCGATAGCATAGCACAAATTTGGACAATATTTTCCTTCTATGTGATTGCATTGATTTGTCCGCGATAGCATATCACAAAATTGGACAATAACATTTTTCTTCTATGCGATTGCATTGATTTGTTCGCGATAGCATAGCACAAAATTGGACAACAACATTTTTTTTCTATGCGATTGCATTAGTTTGCCCGCGATTGCATAGGATATTTTGGGCCATTAGGTATTTTCTTCTATGCGATTGCGTCACTACTCCCGCGATCGTAATGAACAAACACCTGGGCAGACAGAATACATTCCAAAATTGTTTTGTTACACCATTTTCATCATATTTTGACTTATAGAGCTCGGTTCTTGGCGATTTTTGGTGGGGTTTTCACGAAATTCGATTGGGTAAGTATTCTTCAACTAGAATTAAATATATTCCATAAATTTGTCTTTATTTTTATAATTTAAACTAGTTAATTTACTCGCGCTTCGCACAATTGTAACAGACATTTAAATTTATGAGATAAATCATTTTGATAATAAAGTGGAGATAGAACATATAAGTTTTAAGTAAAATGATAAATAAAAAATTGAGGTTTAATTATATTATATATGATAGACTTGGTAAAAGATATCTATAGTTGAACTAATTGAAACATACACTTGAAATGGAAACAACCACTTGAAAGACAACTAAAATTTTGACTTTGAGAATTAATTAAGTCACTATCAAACCATAATCATTTGAGGAAGTATATTGTCACGACCCCAACCCCGATCATGATGGCGCCCAACACACTGCTAGGCAGGCCCGACCATTCAACAACATTATCCCAAATTCTTATTCAAATTATAAATAAATATCACAGAAAATTTACTAAGTCATTTCATTCAAGTGTATAATTAATAATAAAATCTGCGGAAGTTCAATTAAAATACCACACCATAGCCCAACAAAATACGGTGTCACGAATATGAGCCTCTAATACAGAATATCCACCTATTAAAAGTCTGTCTAAGAAAAATACGGAATAAAAGATAGAGATATATGGGAGAGTTCAAGGCTGCGAAAGCCATGCAGCTACCTCGATACTCCCGGATACTGCTGCTCAGCTAAAAAAATCCTCACTCAGCCTGTAGTGTACCTGGATCTGCACAAAAGGTGCAGGAAGAAATGTGCGTACTCCGACCCAGTGAGTAATAAACATAAATAAAGGCTGAGAATAAGAAATCATGGAAAAATACAAAGTAAACTATAACTGGCAGTTTAGAACAACAAATAGTGAAGCAACAAGTCAATTAAGTCAGAGTACCAAATACTGAGACAGGTATAACAAATAAAAACAAATGCATGAGTGCAATGCAATGAATATGATGGTACACTCTAGTACCCACTGCGGCGTGCAGCCCGAGCCATCCATTTATTTATCGTCGACGGCGCTCACTGGGGGTGTGTGCAGACTCCGGAGGGGCTCCTACAACCCAAGCGCAATATCAAGCCATCTCGTGGCATCAAATCTAGGCCCTCGGCCTCATATCAATCTCAGTATAATCACTCAGGCTCTCGGCCTCAATATCAATGTAATCAGCCAGGATCTCGGCCTCAATATCAATGTAATCGACTAGGCTCTCGGCCTCAATATAAATATAACACTGCTGCGGCGCGCAACCCGATCCATGCTCAGTCCAGAAATCATCATATGCCCCTTGGGCATTTGTAAAACAGTAGTTCTCAGCCCGAAATATCATTTGGAATTATCATTTAAGTTTTCAAATCTTAGAAAGATGGATGAGTTTGCAAAACAGTATTTAAAACCTTGGACTGAGGTCAAATGATATGCAAAATATGTGAAAGTAATGATATCAATCCCTGAAGGATTCAAATAATTGGCAAGAAGCCTACAAGTGGAAACATGACTGAGGATATAAATTCTTTAACAAAATAAGTGAGGAAAACCAGTCAAAAATCGCCTAAGGGTTCTACAGGTCGGCACAAGGCCCCAAGCATGGCAACAAGCCCAATTCACAATAATAAAGTATACGTCTCAACCAAAAATGTAGTAAAATATCTCTCGGGACGGACCAAGTCACAATCCCCAACGGTGCTCTACCTTACGCCCATTATCCGGCATGCAAGTCACCTCAATATAGCGTTACGATGTAAAATTTCAGGGTTTCAAACCCTCAGGGCATCATTTACATCAATTACTCACCTCGATCCGGTCCAAAATCTAGCCCGCGATGCCTCGCCCGCACGAATCGACCTCCGGATGCTCCAAATCTAGCCACAATCAGTACATAATCATTAAAATATGCTAAGGGAGCGAAGCCCACTCGAAAATATCCAATTTAACATCAAAATCCCGAAATTGCTCAAACCCGGCCCCCGGGCCCACGCTTCGGAATTCGACGAAACTCACAAAATCCGATAACTCATTCAACCACTAGTCCAACCATACCAAAATTACTAAATTCCGATAACAATTCGGCCTCCAAATCTAGAATTTTTGTTTTTGAAAAGTTTACAAATTTTTTCCAATTTCTTCCATTTGATTCACTAATTCTTGATAAAAATAACCATGAAATCATTAAATATAATCAATTTTGGATATAGAACACTTACCCCAATCCATATGGTGAAAATCGCTTCAATCCGAGCTCCATAGCTCCAAAAATGAGAAAACTCTCGGACTGCCCGAATCATACACTGTCCAGAAATTTTCGCGGTACTGTTCACGCATTCACTGTTCGTGGGTACTGTTCATGGGTACTGTATACGGGGTACTGTTCATATGTACTGTACATGGGTACTGTACAGGGATACTGTTCATGTTTACTGTACATCGATACTGTTCACGCAGGTGCGGTTACTGTTCACACGTGCGAAAAATGCAGAAACTGCCCGGAAAATTGCAGCAGCTTTTCGTTTCACTAAAAAGGCTCTAACTCCAACATACGAACTCGAAATTCGATGATTCTTGTTCCTATGAGTCACAAATAATAATACGAACATAGCCCTTCAGTCGAAACTCAATTCGGAGCTCATTTGCTCAGTTCAATACCCATTTCGCTCGTTAAACAATTAACTCATGTTTCGTGTCAAAAACCCAATCGCGACTTGATGAAATTAGACCAAATTTTCCAGATCACTCCTATATTTCATTATTTAAATTCTGGAAATCTAGAAATAGAATTTCGATCTCTAGAACTAAAAATAGACTTTTGGATCATTACAACGGCAAAAATCTTCCAAAAACTCTTCCAAAATTTATCCGAGCCTCATGGGACCTCGACCAAATATGCCAACATAATTCATAACATTATTCAAACCTCTTCCAATCATCAAAACACCTCAAACAACATCAAATTACCCAAAACACATCGAATTCAAGCATAATTTTCTAAAAACTTCCGAAATACACTTTCGATCAAAAACCCGACCAAACCACGTCCGAATGACCTGAAATTTTGCACACATATCCCAAATCACTTAACGAAGCTACATCAACTCTCGGAATTCTATTCTGACTCTCTAATCAAAATTTCACCTATCAACCGGAATTCGCCAAAATACTAACTTCGCCAATTCAACCCAAATCCTTCCACGGACTTTCAAAATGCATTCCGATCGCGCTCCTAAGTCATAAATCATCCTCCAAAGCTAACTGAATCATCGGGATTCAAATCCGAGCCCTCTAACACATAAGTCAACGTCCGGTTGACTTTTCCAAAACAAACCTTCCTTAAAGAGACTAAGTGTCTCATTTCCTACTAAAACCAATCCAAATCAACTCGTTCACACCCAACACTGATAATGAAGCATAAAGAAATAGGAAATGGGGGGAAACGGAGCGGTAACTCACGAGACGACGGGTCGGGTCGTCACATATACACTGAACAATCAAGTATAGCACAAATGAAATCTTAGTGCTTGTGGTATAATCTCTCAACATCTCTCTAATAAAAGTGACAAAAGGAGGTAATGCACTTGCAACGAATATAAGAGCGACAATTTTTTTCCTCTTGCTCAATGAGTTGAATATTTATCACAAATAGAAATTATAAAAATTACATATTCTTTTTGAGAGTGTTAATTAAAGAATGATATACTAAATTGATTTTAAAAAAAAGAGGACGGTACACCTTTGTTTGGATCATGGGATGATTATAAGCTTTTCATAACACCTTCCTCACTGCAGTACTAATTCGAGTTTGTTTCAATTGCAATATATATGAATTTTCTTTGAACAAAAGTTACAAGACTTCATCGTTTTCTTGTCATACTTTTTATAAATTCTTTATAGTCTGAGGACTATTCCCCATTTGGCCATGTCTTACATTAGCAACTGTTATTGTTGCTTTGGAGGGTTATTATTTGAATGTTCAGCTATAACCCTGCATAAAAATAATAGTTGTATTATTAGTAAGTTGCAGTAGCATCATACATGCAAGACTACAATATGCTTTATATCCATCTCAAAATATCAAGCAGAAAACCAAGAGATCTTCTATACATCAATATTGAGTGCAGAACATTCAACTCCAAAATTAATAAGATAGAGAAAAATTAGTAGGAAGGAGTTCTCAATCAGCATATCCAATTTAGGAAAAACCTTATCAGAATATTAAAGGTGTACCTTTTGTACTTGAATAAACTTATCAAGTACTGTACAAATTGGATAAAAACTTAAATAAAGCAAAGGAATCACGAAGCTAAAAGATATCATACTCGGGTTTTTTTCCCTTGAAATCCTCTAAACTTTTAGGTTCAACTCATTTTTAACATGGAACTAATATAGATCTTATATATAAAATGGAGCTACAAATAATTTTTCTCACTCGCTATGAACAGAGCACAAGTTCGACAGAGGTCTAAAAGTATGCCAAGTAAACTAACATAAAACCTATGAGATGTATGATTAGAGAGAAACTTCCATGCCATTAAATAGATGACTAAAAGTAGACATATTAACAATGTCACTACATACTGCCAAAATAAACTCGAAACACCTTGAACAAAATCATGTACAGAGGAAATCCAAATAAAATGGCTGGTTATTTGATGATGGTGACATAACTTGAGAAATAGACTGAAAAATATATTTTGCTACATGTCTACAAAGGCTTCTATACTGCTTCTGCAGATCATAAGAAACAAATTCCTTCTCCCACTCTAAGTATCTGATCACATCTTTGAAACCCGATTTGGATCCTTTCTCACCCACCCCTCTCCCCTCCCCGCCACTTCGTCTCTTTCTTTCAATTTTTTCTTTATTCATCCAATTTCTCTATAATTAGTCACTACTTGAATTTTTGCCTTAAGAAAGAAAGGGAAAGAGGACTATAATTCTTAACTGGCGGTGCTTTCAATCTTTTCAATCTTTTCAGTCTGTCTCTTGCAAATAACACTGTCAAGAAAATATTGGAAAGCCAAATGGGAAGGAAGAAGAAGATATAAAAGTTTCACTTGAATCTATATGGTTGGACTCATATTGTGCCAAAAGCTAATTCCACTTTCAAGATAAACACTGTGAAATCAAATAGAATGGGAAAAGGCAATGCTCAAAGTTTTTCATCGGAGTCCACATGCTTGGACTCTTTACTCTGCCAAAACCTGATATAAAAAGTAAAAAAAAAATATTAATACAGAGACACATGAAATAAACACCGATCAAGTCTGAAAAAGTTGTACCAATCTGAATAGCATAATAATGATCGTGTCAAATTCTAATACGCATAAACCACATTCCTATAAAGTAACGCAACTTAAACTATAAATACAAAGAATAAATAATCAAAGAGAAAAGGCATAGAGTGACACCAGACCAAAGAAAGTTCTGAAAATGCAGAATCATACCAAAGATGGAAGCTAGAATATTGTTCTTTTTCAGAATACCTAAAAAGCAAGAAACTCTGTAAAGATATCTCAGGAAAGATCCATTCACAAATATGTAATGATTGACATGTATAAATATTTTAATGCTAACAAAGAAATGCAAGAAGCAGCAAAAAAATATATACCAACCAATAGAGAAAACAAAAAGCTATTACCAAGTGTCGTTTACCAGACTCTCATGCCCCTTTGATCATGTTGGGAAGTGATGAAAAACTGAAACTTCTAAAATCCCTATATTACAACCAAAACCTCAAAAGTCAAGCAATAGACTTGAACTACAAAAGAACATATTAAAAACTAATCAAAATAATGGGAAATAAAAACGAATAAATATGGAAGTAATTATGTTATGAATGAGTTTAAGTGGAGGAAAGAACGTACGTATATTACTTATTTAGATTGGACACAACTATTTAGAGAAGTCATATCAAATTAGTTTTTCTTCTTTTAAATAATAAATTAATACATCCTAAAAATAGAACAAAGGAAAATATTTGAGAATAAAATAAATAGAGATCTTGCCTTAGAAGAGGTGTCACGTCACCTCTCTCTCTCTCTATATATATATATATATATATGAGAGAGAGAGAGAGATGGGAAAGACTTCAAAAGTTGGAAAATAAGCACATAATGTATTTTCATTTGAAGAGCACATAAATTTGTATATACAACCAACATATAAACCATAAGAAAAAGTTATGAAATTTGGCAAGTAAAGTTTCAAGCTTTTCAATCACAATTGTCAAAATTCAGCCACGAAAAAAGTTAAAACACTTATTTCGGGTATCCTAATTGACTTAATACGTATGGTTAGCTACATGATACTAATATAATCCAAAACAAAAAAATTATATCAATTTTTATGGAATTAACCAAATGAAGGGCAAACTCAATGAGCAGGGCACCTGTCTACCTTTTGCTTTCGTTGAAAAACTTTGACACAAATCAATATCATTTCTCATTTACCACTAAAGAAAATAAAAGAACATGGGCAAAAAGAATCAACAAATTAATGTGTTTGTCTATTTTTCATCTAAAAATCCATATTGATTGGATATAATTAAGTGCTAACGATTATGTAAAGAAACATATTATAAATTTACTGAGATGGTACAAACGTCGGGTGTGAATATATTTTAACAATAAAATATTTATTATTAAGATAGCTAATATTGGTCTAGAAACTTAACAAATTCGTAAGTTTATGTTAGGGTCTCAATGAAAACATTCAGATAGTAGGCACAGTAATTAAGTAGAAGTAGATCTTGATATAAAAAGTAACTTAGAAGAGAAAGGGAGAAGAAAGATATTACCAATAAATGATAATAGTGGTTGATCTTTTCCTGGAATAGGACGAGTCTCTCTCATTTTATGGTCGAATCAGCAAGAAAGTGAAGCCAAGTTACCAAAATTTTGAAGCTTTGGTGAGGACATATACCGGAAACACAATTCAATATCAAGAGAGCAGAAAGTAAAAGAATATCAGATTTGAAAGAGACATTTCGGGTCAGAAATTTTAGAAGAAATTAACTTTTTATATTTGATAGATTTTAAAAAAACAAAAAAGCTACCATGCTTTTTTTTTCTTCTTCTTCTTAATTTACTAACTTAAATGGGAACTTTTGAATTCTGATTCAGATGACGGGTGCTGCAATTCTGACAGTGAGGTAGATGGATTTCCAGAGACTGAAGTCAAAAGAAAAGGGTCGTTCGAACTTAGAAGAAAGAAATATATGAAACAAAACAGAAACAACCTTTTTTTCTTCATAGTAGAGAGAGAAGAGGGATCAGCGTTTTGAATTATCGTAAGGAAGAAGAAAGACCTTGTTAAAAATTGTAAGGTTACGACTGGCGGTGAAAAGAAGAGGAAACGTTTGGGGTTTTCTAGTTTCTAATAAATTAACCGTGGTTTTTGTCTTAGGTAAATGAGAATAAATTAGAGAAAACTCCAAAAAATTGTGAAAAAGACAAAGACAATCCCTATTCATCAAGGCCTGCCACGTCACCAGGTCAATGACCCTCAATTATATATATATATATATATATAGATTGTGTTTTAGGTTGGGGAAAGAGTTGGTTTTTGAAGAAAAATTTCAAAATGAAAAATCATGATTTGAGGGACCAAATGGTATCGGAATTGGATAAATTTTGTATGGTTGAACTTATTTTGGAATGGGTGATCGAATTTTGTAAAATTTGATGGGTTCCGATGTGCGGGCCCGGGGGTTGGTTTTTGGGTCGATTTTTATATTTTGTAAATATTGAAACTTTATTATTCGAAATAGTTCCTCATTCGATTTATGTGTGTTTTGGAGTTGTTATAGTTGGATTTGAGCTGTCCGGAGGTCTTTTCGTCAGAGAAGTCCATTTTAGAGTACTGAGTTGTCGTCTATCTTGCTTAGCCTTGTGTGGGGGACTTCCCCTTAAGATTGAGTCTTCTATGTTGATTGTAATCCGTGTACGTATGGTTGAACTTATTTTGGAATGGGTGATCGAATTTTGTAAAATTTGATGGGTTCCGATGTGCGGGCCCGAGGGTTGGTTTTTGGGTCGATTTTTATATTTTGTAAATATTGAAACTTTATTATTCGGAATAGTTCCTCATTCGATTTATGTGTGTTTTGGAGTTGTTATAGTTGGATTTGAGCTGTCCGGAGGTCTTTTCGTCAGAGAAGTCCATTTTAGAGTACTGAGTTGTCGTCTATCTTGCTTAGCCTTGTGTGGGGGACTTCCCCTTAGGATTGAGTCTTCTATGTTGATTGTAATCCGTGTACGCAAGGTGATGAGTGCGTACTCAGACTTAATTGTGGATACATGGCCTTTTAGGGTTCTTAGGTTCTTATATTCACTACGTATGAAGTTATTCTTAATATGACTGAGTTCCTGCTTATTGGTTTCGTCTCTACATGCTTAGTTGGAATTATTTGCTTTATGATTTAATCTTATTGCCTAATTGTCATCCTATTTGATTTAACTGAAGAACTTCGTCTCTCTTATCATCATGCTACCTTTTCATAAATGCCTGTGTTATTGAGGGTTATTGTCATCCCTCCTTTTAGGGTTCTTAGGTTCTTATATTCACTACGTATGGAGTTATTCTTAATATGACTGAGTTCCTTGCTTATTGGTTTCGTCTCTACATGCTTAGTTGGAATTATTTGCTTCATGATTTAATCTTATTGCCTAATTGTCATCCTATTTGATTTAACTGAAGAACTTCGTCTCTCTTATCATCATGCTACCTTTCCATAAATGCCTGTGTTATTGAGGGTTATTGTCACCCCTCCTATAATCGCCTAGTCTTAAGTGCAGCTAAGATCATCTTCCCTTAATTGAAATTATCGAACATTCTCGTAACTTCCCAACCTTAAACGGAGTTTAGATGACCTATATATCCTTGTCGACTTGCTTTTATTTAGGACTACTAGACTCGTGTTGTCTTCCTTGTACTGATTTGTTTATTTTGGGATCGTCACTACATGTTAGTTTTTCCTTTCGTTGAACTGTTCCCTTTATGCCTTTAATTTTTCTTACTGTGGCTATTCTTGTGAACTGGTTATACCGATTCCTTGCGATTTGAAGTTTTGGAGTGGATTCACTCGCTATATTTTGTATTATTGTCACTATTGTTGTTGTGCTGGTTGTGTTGGTGCACGAGGTCTCTGCCGTGCGGTTATGTTGTGTTGTGCACGAGGTCTCTGCCGTGCGGATTGTTGTTGAGGGGTTGCACGAGGTTTTTTCCATGCTATTGTTACTATTGATATATTGTACATGCGGCGTGACAAGGAAGGATATGTATATATGCTTATATGTGGGTTGCGCATGTGGCGAGACAGGGTGGGAACATTATGATGTAGGTGTGGCGAAACAAGGCGGGCACTTGTTATGTTATTATTTGCACACGTGGCGAGACAAGGTGGGCTATGTCAGGGATTGATTGTGAGGATTTGTGATGGCCTGGGGGCATTCTTGTTGTATAATATTGTGTTATGAGATTCTGGTTTTTGGGAATTGTTGTTAGCTTCGAGAGTTGTTATTGTATGCGCCGAGCGGCACCTTAAACACTGTTTCATTTTATTATTTCGGTTTTTAATTATTTCTTCCGCAATTATTGTTTATATTCCGCATTGTTAAAAGCTTACCTAGTCGTAGAGACTAGGTGCCGTCACGATGGTTCACGGAGGGCGAACCGGGGTCATGACAAGGAGTCAGCCATTGGCTTCAGCGCCAGCTACTTCATCACCACCCACCCACCTAGCTAAGGGGTTAGTCAGCTAGGGGTTGCCCTAGAGGGGGAGGTCGATCAGGTGGCGGTCAGGCCCGTTTCTATGCACTTCAGCTAGACCCGATGCTATTGCTTCCGATGCTGTTATTACAGGTATTGTCTCAGTCTGGCACAGAGATGCTTCTGTATTATTTGATCCCGGTTCCACCTTTTCTTATGTGTCATCATACTTTGCTCATTATTGGGATACATCCCGTAAGTCTCTTGTCACCTATTCATCTATCTACTCCGGTGGGCAATACTGTTGTTGTAGACCATGTGTATCGGTCGTGTGTGGTGACTATTGGGGGTCTGGAGACCCGAGAGGATCTATTATTGTTATGTATGGTGGATTTCAATGTTATTTTGGGCATGAATTGGCTATCTCTGTGTCGTGTTATTCTGGACTGTCATGTTAAGACAATGACATTGGCTATGTGTGCCACAGATTGAGTGGCGAGGTTTGACTAATTATGTTCCCAGTAGGGTAATCTCATTTTTGAAGGCCCAGCGTATGGTTGGGAAAGGTTGTCTTTTGTATCTAGCCTTTGTGAGGGATGTCGGTGCAGAGACTCCCAATACTGATTCTGTTCCAGTTGTGAGGGATTTTTCCGCATACCTGATGGGCATGCCACCGAACAGGGATATTGACTTTGGTATTGACCTAGTGCCGAGCACTCAGCCCATTTCTAATCCGATGTATCGTATGGCACCAGCGGAGCTGAAGGACTTAAAGGAGCAACTTCAGGAACTCCTTGACATTCGGCCTAGTGTGTCACCTTGGGGTGTGCCGGTTCTATAACCAACTACATTGATTATAGGCAGTTGAACAAAGTGACAGTTAAGAACAAGTATCTTTTGCCTCGCATTGATGATTTACTCGACTAGCTTCAGGGAGCGAGAGTGTTCTCCAAGAGTAATCTCCGTTCAGGTTATCACCAGCTGAAGAGCAGGTACTCGGATATTCTTAAGACAACTTTCAGAACCCGAATGGTCATTATGAGTTCTTGGTGATGCCTTTTGGGCTGACCAATGCCCCAGCAGCGTTCATGCATTTGATGAACAGTGTGTTCCGCATAGTCATAGTCTTCATTGATGATATTCTGGTGTATTCGCATAGTCAGGAGGAGCACGCGGAGCATTAGAGAGTTGTGTTGCAGAGATTGAGAGAGGAGAAGCTTTATGCAAAGTTCTCCAAGTGTGAGTTTTGTCTCAGTTCAGTGGCTTTCTTGGGGCACGTGGTGTCCGATGAGGGTATTCAGGTTGATCCAAAGAAGATTGAGGCGGTTCAAAGTTAGCCCAGACCGTCCTTAGCCACAGAGATTCGAAGCTTTATTGGTTTGGCAGGCTATTATCACCGGTTTGTTCAGGGATTCTCATCTATCGCATCGCCCTTGACCAAGTTGACTTAGAAGGGTGTTTCATTTGTATGGTCGGATGAGTGTGAGTAGAACTTTCAGAAGCTCAAGACAGCCTTGACCACTGCTCTAGTGTTAGTTTTGTCATCAGCTTCAAGTTCATATACCGTGTATTGTGATGCTTCGAGAGTTGGTATTGGGTGTGCATATGCAGGAGGGTAGAGTTATTGCTTATGCTTCTCGTCAGTTGAAGCCCCATGAGAAGAACTACCTCGTTCATGATTCGGAGTTGCTGTCATAGTTCACGCGTTGAAGATTTGGAGGCTAATATGGTGTGTCTTATGAGGTGTTTACTGATCATCGTAGTCTCCAGCACTTGTTCAAGCAGAAGGATCTCAATTTGAGGCAGCGGAGGTGCTTGGAGTTGCTAAACGATTATGTTATTACTATATTGTACCATCCGGGGAAGGCCAATGTGGTGGCTGATACTTTGAGCCGAAAGACGGTGAGTATGGGGAAACCTTTTGCAGTTGATGTTCAGGCCTTGGCTAATCGATTCGTGAGGTTAGATATTTCGAAGCCCAGTCGGGTATTGGCTTGTGTGAATTCTCGGTCATCCTTATATGATCACATCAAAGAGCGCCAGTATGATGATCCGCATTTGTTTGTCCTTAAGGACAGGGTTCAGCACGATGATGCCAAAGACGTGACTATTGGTGATGATGGGGTGTTGAGGATGCAGGGCCGAATTTGTGTGTCCAATGTGGATGGGCTTCGGGAGTTGATTCTGGAGGAGGCCCATAGCTTGCGGTATTCCATTTATCCCGGTGTAGCGAAGATGTATGAGGATCTGAGACAACATTATTGGTGGAGGAGAATGGAAAAAGACATTGTGGGATTTGTAGCTCGGTGTCTCAACTGTCAGCAGGTGAAATATAAGCATCAGAGATCGGGTGGCTTGCTTCAACAGATGGATATTCCAGAGTGGAAGTGGGAGAGAATCACTATGGACTTTGTAGTTGGACTTCCACGGACTTTGAAGAAGTTCGATGCTATTTGGGTGATTGTGGATCGGTTGACCAAGTCCTGTGTGTACCTATTCTTCAAAGCGGTTGGCAGAGATCTATATCCGGGAGATTGTTCGTTTGCATGGTGTCCCAGTTTCCATCATTGCAGTTTTGGAGGACTGTGCAGCGAGAGTTGGGTACTCAGGTTGAGTTGAGCACAACTTTTCACCCTCAGACGGAGGGGCAATCCGAGCGCACTATTCAGATATTAGAGGACATGTTGTGTTCTTGTGTCATTAATTTAGGAGGGTTATGGGATCAGTTTCTACTGCTTGCAGAGTTTACTTATAACAACAGCTACCAATCGAGTATTTAGATGGCTCCATATGAGGCTTTGTATGGGAGGCGATATAGATCTTCAGTTGGTTGGTTCGAGCCGGGTGAGACTAGGCTATTGGGGACAGACTTGGTACAAGATGCTTTAGAAAAGGTGAAGGTAAATTCAGGAGAGGCTTTGTACAGCGCAGTCAAGACAAAAGAGTTATGCTGACAGGAAGGTTCGGGATGTGTCCTACATGGTTGGTGAGAAGGTTCTGTTGAAGGTTTCACCCATGAAGGGTGTTATGAGATTTGGGAAGAAGGGTAAATTGATTCCTCGGTTCATTGGGCCTTTTGAGGTGCATCGGAGGATTAGGGAGGTGGCTTATGAGCTTGCTTTGTCACCCAGCTTGTCGAGTGTGCATTCGGTATTTCATGAGTCTATGCTCTGGAAGTATATTGGGGATCCGTCTCATGTTCTGGAAATCAGCACGATCCAGTTGGATGGTGATTTGACTTATGATGTGGAGCCAGCAACTATTTTGGGGCGTCAGGTTCGAAAGTTGAGATCAAAGGATATAGCTTTAGTGAAAGTGCAGTGGAGAGGTCGACCCGTGGAGGAGGCTACCTGGGAGACCGAGTGGGAGATGCAGAGCAGATATCCTCACTTGTTTGAGGCTTCAGGTATGTTTCTTGACTCGTTCGAGTACAAACGTTTGTTTAAGAGTTGAAGCTTCAGGTATGTTTCTTGACTCGTTCGAGGACGAACGTTTGTTTAAGAGGGGGAGGATGTGACGACCCGGCCAGTCGTCTCATGAGTTACCGCTCCATTTTCCCCATTTCTGCTTCTTATAGCTTTGTCTATCGGTTCTATGTGTGATCGGTTGGTTGGCTCGGGTTCAGAGAGGTTTTGGTAAGGTTTGAGACAATTAGCCTCTTTTGAGGAAGCTTAAGTTGGAAAAGTCAACAAGATGTGAGTTCCGATGGTTCGGATAGCTTCGGGGGTGATTTGGGACCTAGGAGAGTGACGGAAATGAGTTTTGGAGGTCCGGAGTAGATTTAGGTTTGAATTGGCAAAATTGGTATTTTGGCGTTTTTCGGTTGATAGGTGAGATTTTGATATAGGGGTCGGAATGGAATTCCGAAAGTTGCAGTAGTTCCGTTGTGTCATTTAGGATGTGTGTGAAAAATTTCAGGTCATTCAGACGTGGTTTGGTAGACTTTTTTATCAAAAGAGATATTTGGAAGATTTTGGAAGCTTAGGCTTGAATCCGATGTGTTTTGGGTGATTCGATGTTGCTTGAGGTGTTTTGAAGATTGGTACAAGTTTGAATGGTGGTATGTGACTTATTTGTGCTTTTGGTTGAGGTCTTGGGGGCCTCGGGGTGATTTCGGATGGTTGGCGGAAGATTGGAGTTGGGACGCAGCTGAAGTTTTCCCATTGTTGTCAAAACCGCACCTGCGGTCCCCCACGCAGGAGCGAAGGTGGAGTCGCAGAACCGGAAGAGCCTAGGAAGGCAGAACCCGCAGAAGCGGTTGTGGGACCGCACATGCGATGGCGTAGGTGCGGAATGTGCATCGCAAATGCGGAAGCTGAGGAATAAGCGAAAACAGCAGAAGCGGTTTGTGGACCACAAAAGCGGAACCGCAGAAGCGATTAAAGGGCCGCAGGTGCGGAATCCTTAGGCCAGAAGGTATAAAATGTTTCCTTCGCGAATTTTGGCTAAGTTCTCCATTTTTGAAGTCGGGAAGCGAGCTAGGGCAGTGAATTCAAGGGTAAATTGAAGAGAATCAGTTGGGTAAGTTCCCTAAGCTTCATTACTTGAGTTTATGATCATAT